ATTAAAATGGGATCAATTTCTTTCTTAGCACAAAAAAAAAAAAAAAAGGAGAGGAAGATTCAAAAGAGAGTGAGAAAAGAAATTTGTGTTTTGGGAGTTGCTTTTGAAAAAAAAAATAATTGAAAAGGCATCTTAATTGTATTCTAGGTCAAATTAGCAGTTTCTATTCATGGAAGTCAATCACATTGTTTATTCATATAATCCATTATGCTTTACAAGATTTTACATTAATCTTACCCATACGTGTTTTAAACATTACTGAATTTAACATTGATTTCAACATCTTTGAAAGGTTCAAAAATCATTATTTTTGCATGTAAGATTTAACATTTCAAAAAATGACAAGTAGATGTATTGAATTCTTGATCATAGTATGGGTGAATCAAACATGTTTACAAAATTTAAAGCATCATCAGAGATGGAAAAGACTGATGACAGTTCAAGATGACACTAAAGGACACTTGTTAATCCCTTAAGCCTTCAAGGTTTGAAGTCATGATATTGATGAAAGTTCAAGATGGAATTGAACATTGGCAAGAGGCAAAAACTATTGAGGTTTGAAGAAATACTAATTTGATTTAAGATCAAGACCACATCTTAGAAGTCACATCCTAGATGAAGGTCGCATCTCAAGAAGAAAAAGAGATGAAGACTGCATCTCACAAAAAGACAAATAAAGACCACATCTTAGAAGTCACATCCTAGATAAAGACCGTATCTTAGGAAAAAGAAGAGATGAAGATTGCATCTTATAAGTCACATCCTAGATGAAGACCATATCTCAAGAAGAAGAAGAAATAAAGACCACATCTCATAAAAGATAAAATGAAGACTACATCTTATAAGTCACATCCTAGATGAAGACCGCATCTCAAGAAGAAGAAGAGATGAAGATCACATCTCACAAAAGATAAGATAAAGACAGCATCTTAGAAGTCACTTCCTAGATGAAGACCACATCTCAGGAAGAAGAGATGAAGACCACATCTCAGGAAGAAAAGATGAAGACTGCATCTCACAAAAAGATAAAAAAAGACCACATCTTATAAGTCACGTCCTAGATGAAGACCACATATCAAGCAGAAGAAGAGATGAAGACCACAACTCGCAAAAATAAGATGAAGATCGTATCTTAAAAGTCACATCCAAGATGAAGACTACATCTCAAGAAGAAGAAAAGATGAAGACTGCATCTTAAAAGTCACATCCTAAATGAAGATTGCATCTCAAGAAGAAGAAGAGATGAAGACTGCATCTCGTGAAAGGTAAGATGAAGACTGCATCTCGTAAAGATAAGATGAAGACCACATCTCGCAAAAGATAAGATGAAGACCACATCTTCTAAGTTACGTCCTAGATGAAAACCACATCTTAGGAAGAAGAAGAGATGAGCACCACATCTCGCAAAAGATAAGATGAAGATCGCATCTTATAAGTTACGTCCTAGATGAAAACCACATCTTAGGAAGAAGAAGAGATGAGCTCCGCATCTTGCTAAAAAAAGGATGAAGATTGCATCTTAGAAGTCACATCTTAGATGAAGATTGCACCTTAAGAAAGAAGATGAGATCTTTCCTATTATTCTTTTGCAAGTTTAAAATTGGGTTATTCTTTTATTGTTTACTTTTTATTTTTTGTAAAAAGAAAAGTAAAGAGGGGGCAACTATCATAACCTAATTTTTATCAAGGGCTGAATAATAAAATTGGAAGCTCATGGACCATTTCACAAAAATTGTGAAGCCTGAATGGCTAAGAGGAAGAATTAGACAAACAACGTCGTTTTGCTTGTAAGCTAAAATAAAAATAAAGCCTAAAGTTCAGTCGAACGCTAACTTCCCAAAAATCCTGATTCTTCTTGCTTTATTGCCAACCATCTCCAAAATTTCACAAACCTTCTTGATTTGTCTCTAAATCCACTCAAAGTTTAGATAGATCACAACACCATAATAAGAGATTTGTAGATTTGAAGTCCTTATAAAGAACTAAAGAAGAAGATTTTAAAATTGATTCAACCTAGGAGTCCTAATGCATAAAAGGTATGAATCTAGACTAGAAAAGGGACAGATGTGGGAAGAACTAAGAAATCCCATTCTAAATAGGATTGGGTTGTTATCTTAGGGATTTGGATTAGATATTAGAAGCACATTAGGATTGGGTTTTCTCTTTGTCTATAAAAAGGGGACCTTTGGCTTTAGAGAGGGCATGGGAAAAATTGAGAGAAGAAGGGAGAAGAAACCAAGAGATTGAGGGAGAGAAAAGAGGAGCAAGGTGAAAAAAAAAAGAAAGAAAGAAAGAAAGAAAGAAAAACCATGAGAGAGAAAAAAAAAAGGGGAGAAGGTGAAAAAGAAAGCAAGAAAATCTTGCATTCTTGAAGTTTTTGGCAAATAAATAAGTTTGGATTTCTTTTCTTCTTCTTCAGGTATGTTTATTTTATTATTATTATTATTTTTTTGGGAACATGAAAGAATTTGGAGTTTGAATAATCTTTTCTTTTTCGTCCTTTCTTTTGTTGTCGGTAATTGCTTGAAGGTATGAATCTAGACTTGAAAAGGGTAGATGTAGGAAAAACTAAGAAATCCCATTCTAAATAGGATTGGGTTGTTATCTTAGGGATTTGGATTAGATATTAGAAGCACATTAGGATTGGGTTTTCTCTTTGTCTATAAAAAGGGGACCTTTGGCTTTAGAGAGGGCATGGGAAAAATTGAGAGAAGAAGGGAGAAGAAACCGAGAGATTGAGGGAGAGAAAGAGAAGCAAGACAAAAAAAAAAAAAAAAAAAAAAAAATCCATGTGAGGAAAAAAAAAGGGGGAGAAGGTGAAAAAGAAAGTAAGAAAATCTTGTATTCTTGAAGTTTTTGGCAAATAAATAAGTTTGGATTTCTTTTCTTCCTCTTCAAGTATGTTTTTTTTTTTTGGAACATGAAAGGGTTTGGAGTTTGAATTGTCTTCTTGATTTATTTTCTTTTCTATCTTTTTATTTCTTGGTCTCCCTATTAAAAAATATAGGAAAAATAAAAAATTGCTTACATGATGCTGTATTGGATGTATCTTTGTTGCGTATAATTTTCTTTGGGGGAAAATATGATCACTGTTTTGTTTTTGGAACAATGAAGTCTTAGGATTTGCTATTAGTTACATGTAGGAATGCATTAGATAAAAAAAGAAAAGAAAAAAAAGCAGAAACGAGAAGAGAGCAAGGAGAGGAAAAGTGCCAAAAATATATATTAAAAAAAACAGAAAAAAAAAAAAAAAAAAAAGGAAACAGAAAAGACAATGAGGGACTTTTTTATTGAAGTGATTTTTTAAATTTTTTTGGGTATTTATTATTTTGATAAAAATTGAAAATTCTCCAAATTTAAAGTATATAGTAATCATATTATATGAAAGTTGCGAGATGCTTAACATCTTCCCCTTGCTTAACCGATCCTTTGATCCTAGTCAATTTTTACGTAGACTTTAGTGATTTATCCCATCTCATTTAGATAGATGACAACCCCATCTATTTTGGCACATCAACAAAGCCTACATTCATGCAAGTGCTATCCATAGCAGTGAGCAGAAATTAGTCCATAAGGCAAATTGATATTAACAATGCCTTTCTTCGTGGATCACTTGATGAAGAAACTATTCATGGAGCAGCCTATTCGATTTGTAGCTTCAAATGCCACAACATAAAGAATTCCCACATTAAGCAGTAGCTCTCCATATAGAAGTTATTTTAGACTTGTGTTCGAGTCCTCCCATTTCCTTTTCTCCAAAAATCCTTGACATATTATCCCTGTTCAAAAAAAAAAAAAAATTGCCATATGTTGTAGGCTCAAGAAGTCTATTTACGGACAAATATGAGTAGGATGGAGAAAAATATTGTAGGCTATATATGTACCTAGAGGAGAATGTGTAGCGCTATAATCGAACCTAAAACAAAGGAAAGATTTAAAAATAATAGTAGAAGAAACGCAAATCAATAATTTCAATTGAATCTGTCCTTAACACTCTGCACCTGTTCAGAGCCTTATCATCAAGCTTCTGTTAAAGACAGAATTCTTGCAATGGGCGATTAGACGGTAAGTAACGGCATTAATTTTACTATCTATTATTTTGGGAGTCACTGAATAGTCACATTATTTCACTTAAGATGCTGAGACCTTCAATTTTCCATGTGGTTTCTATAATTTCTTTTCCATTCATGTACCTACTTCTTTTAGTGTTGATTTATAGAAAGCTTCAGTTTACCACGGGAAATTGATTGATTTCGATTTAAAAAATATTTTTTATGTTTGGCTTTTGGGCAAATAGACATTTTTCTGTTATGGGTTTTCTTTGATGGCTAAGGAGTCAAATCTATTGAGAACTTGAATTTTTCTATTGGGAAATTCAAGGCATGTCAATGAATTTTGACAGAGTTTATCGCATCGAATAGAGTTGACGCAGAAAGGATTTAGGTAGTGAAGTGGTCAGGAATTTGGTTTTACTGAGTTGTCTTCGGTAGTTTAGTTAGATCAAACTTTCAGCATAAAGGGGCTATTTTTTCAAAGTGTGGTGGGATTGCGATCTCAGTGTTAATTAGAAGTAGGCTATGGTGGATGTGAGATGAGGAGGAAAATTTGTGTAGCGTCCCAAATCCTACGTTAGTAATAAATTATAAGTAGGGGTGAGTATTTTTAGGTGCAAGTTGAGTATATATTATATTTAATATTTGATTTAAAAATTTTCAAGTATCACTATTTAAATTTGATATTTATATAAACATTTGAAAATGTATGGTTGATACCTAACCCAACAAATATTAGGTAACTTGTGAATATATACTTGTATACTTGGCTTAAGGAAAGAAAAGACCTTATATAAGTTGTTATTGTTGCTTGTCATATGTTTGGCTTATGGTTTGTTATTTGTATGAATAATTATTGTTATGTATGTGATTTCTTTAACTCAATGTTTAATTCTTATTTTATTATTTTTATCTTAAAAAATTATTATTATTATATAAATATAATGTATAATAAGTACAAGTAAAATTTCAATTATACAAATATATGCAACATGTCAATTAAATAAGTTAGTTAAGCAAATAAAATAAACAGTTTTGAACTCTTATATTTATTATTTGATTAGACACTTATAGGTATGTTGTTTTCACACCCATTGTTTAACTAATTTTCTTACGGTTCGTGTATGATACCTAGCCAAATGGGTAAAGTACTTATAAATAATGGATGTATTCATACCTAATGCTCACCCGTAAAGTTATGAGTGAAACAACTTGAATTTAAGTTTTTAAAGGCTCATAGAGCTTAATAGAAAAATTATTAAGTTAGTGACAAATTCTGATTCAAGTCATTTTACTTAATATTACAGTGGTCATTTCTAATAAGTGTAGCCCATATTAACCATTACAATTAGTGATGTGAACTCCTCCTCCCTCAAAATAGATTTTATACTTGTGACCCAATAAATCTAGTTTTGTTTGTGCTTAGCTTAATGGTCAAGGCGAACAACTACGATAACAAGGTGGGTGGTTACAATTTGAGTAAGGGTGCAATTATTTTTAATCTTTCCACACTTCACTTTCTTTTACCTGCATTGCACGGTGCATTCCCTTTTCTAGACACTACAAGAAAACTCAATTTCACCGACAACATATCACCGAGGTAACAATTTTTCTCAGTGAAGCATCATATTACCAACAAGAAATAAGTCTGAAAGTTGAGAAACAGTAGAAATAGAAGTAATATATATTATTTATTGTACAGACGTAATACTTGTCGGTAACTTAACATCATACATACGTGTTCCTTGTCGGTAATTGCAACCAACACTTCAACAAGTGGGGGATGGACGGAAAGCCAAATCACCGATGAGAAGCAGGCCTATAAATTTCTTTTTGAAACGAGAGTCTCATTGATAATTGAGCCTAAATTTTCCAACGTACATCTTCTCAATAATTCCCACTCCCAACACAACCCCGTCGATCAACTGGCTGCCTGCATCAGGAAGTGCAGCTTTTTGATGCAATATTCCGACATCATCCTTGTCGGTAATTTCCCATTTCCCAACTCCTCGTGAATCCGACTGCTGGCCACCGGTGTTGCAGCTTTTATTTAACTTACCGACAAGGTTTAGGTCGGTAATGTATACATTGCCAACTTGATCTTTGTCGATGATTGGCCTGGTCAATGAGAATTTTGATGCAATGCAGAGATGATCAGCTTTAGATTGTAGCAATGTGGGTTTTATCGGTAAGATTCCCTATTGCCCTACCGAACCGCCCTTCTCCTTTCATTTTGGTCTTTCTCCTTTCATTTTCATTTTCCTCTTCTGTCCGCAAGTTGTTCTTGCTCTCCTTTCCTCCATTCTTTCCTTTGAAGCACCTTAACATTTTTCTTCTTACAGTGTAGTGGATCAAGCTGTGGTAAGTAAAATTTAAGTAATATTATTATTTTTTACATATTTTATGTATGTTTTATCTTTTTTCTGAAATTTAAACCATCAAATATTGTTATTAATTAGTTCATTAGATATTAGTTTATATTATTAGATTTTCTTTTAGATAAATTTGATGAATAGTTATGAATAATGTTTTTATAAATTTTTAGTAAAATTTCAACCATTAATGACAAAATTTTTATATTAAGTATTTGATATTAGCTAGCATTTTCAGATTTGTTGTTTTGAGTATATTTTAGGGTGAATATATAT